CCTTCTCTGGACTCTCTCCAGGTTATCTGCATCCCTCTTGAATTGTGGCGCCCAGAATTGCACGCAGTACTCCAACTGCGGTCTGACCAGTGCCCGATAGAGGGGAAGTATCACCTCCTTGGACCTATTCGTCATGCATCTGCTGATGCACGATAAAATGCCATTGGCTTTTTTGATGGTTTTGTCACACTGCCGACTCACGTTCATCTTGGAGTCCACTAGGACTCCAAGATCCCTTTCCGCTTCCGTGCCACCCAGCAGGTCATTTCCTAGGCAGTATGTGTGCTGACATTTTTCCTGCCTAGGTGCAGCACTTTGCATTTCTCCTCGTTGAACTGCATTCTGTTGTTTTCTGCCCACTTGTCCAACCTGTCCAGGTCTGCTTGCAGCTGTTCCCTGCCCTCCGGCATGTCCACTTCTCCCCGTAGCTTTGTGTCATCTGCAAACTTGGACAGAGTACATTTCACTCCCTCGTCCAAGTCACTGATGAAGATATTAAAGAGTATCGGTCCAAGGACCGAACCCTGCGGGACCCCACTTCCCACACCCTTCCAGGTCGAAACCGACCCATCCACCACGACTCTCTGGGTGCGACCCTCCAGCCAATTTGCCACCCACCGGACTGTGTAGTCATCCAAGTCACAGCCTCTTAACTTGTTCACCAGTATGGGGTGGGATACCGTATCGAAGGCCTTCCTGAAGTCTAAGTATACGACATCCACCCCTCCTCCTGTGTCCAGGCGTTTCGTAACCTGGTCATAAAAAGAAACTAGATTGGTCAGGCACGATCTGCCTGCCACGAACCCGTGCTGGTTTCCCCTCAGCATAATTTGTCCTGCCGGGCTCTCACAAATGTGAGCCTTGATAATTTTTTCAAAGACTTTGATGTTCATCCAGAACCACCAAATACCATGTCGAATTATTTGGATTTTCTAAGAGTATTCCCTGGACAACTATGGGTAGCGTGATGGAAGCACCTGCCTTCCAAACATACCTCTTGAAAGAAGTATCAGTT